ATAACGTATCGACATAATTTAAAAATAAGTTGTAATTAAGTGGAATAAATATTTCAGTAATTATAATTTATTCTTACTCAAGCTGTGTTCAAAACGACTATGAGTTGCACCTGGAAAAACATAAAAACTAGTTTCTAATTGCTTGATATCACACAATCTTTGAAAGTGTAGTGTATCTATAAATTTTATTGCCCACTCTTCAAATCTCACGTAACCCTATTTTAAGGTTACATGTAAATAAAACTAACGATTTAAACATTTTAATTAAAATTATTATTGCAAAAAAATACTTACATGAATGGGATCATTAATCAACTTTAGCGGATTCATCTTTTTGTCCATAGATAATATGGCAGAAGTACAGTTGGCTCCAAAAGTTTATCACGGTTACAATATGCAAATCAACGATAAATATTAATGAATACAACTGACTCTTGATATAAAAAAAATCACCGGGTCCCAGCCAAAATCCTTCTTATATCGAGAATTTCTTATATAAAAGACTTAAAAAATTTTCAAATGGAACTTGTAAAACCTTTCTTATGCAAGAGCTTCTTATATCGAGTATATCTAGATCGGGAGTTACTTTAATTATCATAAATTGTGTTGTTTTTTGTGTAACCGTGATAAACTTTTGGAGCCGACTGTACGTACGGCTGTTTTATATTTATTAAGGCCAAATTATACTGATAATTACATGACGTAATGAAATATTTTCCATTCTTGAAGTTGTTTTTACATCTTATTTTTGTGATCTAGAAATATTCATTTTATGCTGGTAATGCAAATCCCTAAAAGGAAGGTATGTTAGTCCGAAAGATACAATGAACTATTATGTCATGATTATTATATACCACAATACATTGCCAAAATTTGAAAATTTAGACCACTAAGTAAACAATAATGATTTTTGACCGAGATAACTACTATCCCTGGGTGATGGTGGAAATTGATAGGGCTTAGGATCGATTTTCCGATCACGTGATAACTTCGGAAAACTTAGAATTTTTGTTTACATTAAGGTTTTGGTTTGATGGAAGTTCATTTTAGAGTTACAAAGGCTGTTCTAATAGTAAAATCATGCAAGGAAAATTTTTACTTAGATTTTTCAAAAAGAGCGTTTGTTTTGATTTTTTTTACGTTACACCTGATCTTGACTTCTCATTGGCTAATTTTAGCTCGGAAAATCACGTGATCGGAAAATCGATCCTACGCCCTGGCGTTGTTGGTGAAGGTGCGTCATTATAATAAATTTCTATGTCTAATAAGATACGTCAAAAGTGGGAAAGATGGGTCAACACGTGGGAAAGATGGGTTAGACGCGTTATTAACATTGATTTATTTATGTCATTTAGTAACTAAAATTTAAAATTGGGGACCAAATACTCAGATTTAGTGACCGAATTTTAGCTTAATTTCATAAATTCGCCGTGATGATACTAAATGTTATGTTCATAAACAGTACAAAATATCATGAATGCCAAGAGTGACTAAAATTCTATGTAGATACGGTTTTACTAAACATACCACTGGTGTTCAGTTCAATACGTAAAGATCAGATGTAACACAAAATTTATTTATTTTTTTTTAAAAGAAAATACTAATAGCTCAAAAATTTCCCACCTTTTGGCTTCTAATAAAAAATTTCTTGCAAAATTTTACAATATGCTAACCTCTAACCACTAACTTTAGTCAATATTCAACATTTATTTTGTACAAAATCACTGATGTTGAACACCAGTGGTATGATTAAGTAAAATTGATATATATATTATAGATAACCAATACGTGTAATAGACGTAATTGGGTAGAGTCATCCTGAAAGCCCGAAACGTTAGATGCACTAATATAATAAAGAATTAAATTGTTAGTCATTCATAAATAACTTGAGTAATTATATATTAAACTTTTATGATTGTTTATGACGATTTATTTTCATATGCATTTGGCTGTTACCTCTTTTGTAGTTGCAAATCATAAATAAATATTTAATACAAATAGCAATTATCGTGTTCTATTCTAGCATACATACACTATACATAAATATACCTATTCGTTAGAATGGTTTTCTCTGCATAAAACTTAAGAGTTGAGGATTAACAATTCGTGCATATGTACGTAAGAACTTGTATAGATAATGGTTCATAGAAAAGAGTTGGACTACAGATTGAAAACTCAAGATAATGAAGCCAAAATTCTACAGTAGTTAATCGAGTAGGCATTTTGACTCTCGCAAAAAGCGAATACTCATGTATCATTATATTACAAAGCAAATTATCATGTATTTACTCTATAACGATAAAGTGTTCCATAGATGGATAAAAATTCTATAGAATCAACTTTTATAATTCATGACATTTTGCATTGCAATATAATTTATGTAATCCTCATTACAAAGTTACAAAGTATTTACACATTTTTTTCGTGGGAAACTGTGATTTGCAATAAGAAAACAAAAAAAAGAGTAAGCCAAGCGGAATGAGTTCAAATGATAGTTGACCAATCTAAAAGCAAGAAACTGTAGTTTGAATTCTCTTTGTTCGTTTGCACTATAAAAAAGGATCATCTAGAAAACATACAGAAAATATAATTTACATTGAAAATATATCAAAACTAAAGAAAAAATGAGTTTCAATATTTAGTATGTTTTCTGTATATTTCATGTATATCTTTATATTTCTATATGTATGTTCCAATATAAATTTTTTTATAAGATTGTAATTAACGTCACTTATGTTAGAAGACAATCTCACTCAATCCCAATACAAAGTGGTATTAATCCTAACTAGGGATGGGTAGATGCGTAGAAATTTTGAGCTTGCGCAAGATTATGATATAGTACTCAGAAGTTTGAGCATAATATAGGCCATTACAAATTCTATACATTTAATGAATAAGCGGCCTGCTTTAGACATGTTCTAATAAGTAGCAAATCAAAAAGTTGATAGAAGATGCCATTTATATAAATTTGGTACGCATTATATTGTCTTAAATTGTTGCGCAAATAATACTGTTGCTGCAAATAATAACGATAATTAGGATTTCGCCGATGATTTGTATATAACAGGAGGAACCGTTGATACGTCACAAAATCGTTACACAATTGATAAAAATTTTTTTTATATTATTTTACAATA